TATATAATTAAATATAATTTGTAAATTAACACAATTATTTTTAATATTATGAATAACTAATATAGGAAGAAGGAATTTTTTTCTTTGTGTGTTTCTCATTAAATTGAGAAGATGAATAGTATAGTCATGGTGGAGCTATAACTTTGTCATCATTTCTCAAGAATTTGGTAGTTTTGGTTTTAATTTTAATTTTATATTTTAAAATTTAATATGAATAAATAATTTATCAAGATTGTTTCTAAATTTTAAAATTTACAAGCTTAAAATTCTAATTCGTCTCAATTCGTATATAAATTATAAAGTGAAAGTCTGGGTTGTTGATGCCCCCAATTTTACAACATATGTACCCTCACCGTTATATATATACATATACACTTACTTTTAATCATTAGAGATAAAATGAAAACATTAAAATCAAAGAATTTTATTGATAAAAATAAAAAAAGTGTGTCAATTCTTTTCGAAATGGATTAAAATGTTAATAGTATACAAATCCCACGGTATAATTAATTCTCTTAATACATCACACTTATTATTATTCATCATCAGAATTTTCTAGTAGGTCCCTTATTAATCAACATATAATATTAGGATTAAGTAAGATCACTTAATTTCATAAGTTAATTAATTAATTAATTAATTAATTAATCACATATATTTCCTTGTTGCAGTTTGATGCCAACAATGTTACTGAATTTTCAGGTAAAAATTAAATGTAAGTACAAGGACAAGATATGAAGCCAAATTGGAACTCATTTCTTATGTATTATATTCTACTAAATTATCCTTAATTAAAAAAGGACTTTCTTTTAACATAATACATCATTTTTTCTATAGGGCTCATAAAGATATTATAAATATTGTTATATAAACATTATATCATAAATATCTTACTCGCGAACTTCTAACACATTATTGTATATCAAATGGATTGTTGTACCGTCCAAAATATTTTTATCGGTCCTCAATAATATTATTTAGAACTAAATAATATATACATGAATTCACAATATATCGGGACTAGTAAAATTCAAAGTTTGATTATTAAATTACTCCAATTAATATTATAGGTAGGAAAATTGTTTAAGGGAAAGGATATATGGAGTATAAAGAATATATAATTAGCAAGATTACCTTTTTTGATTTTTTCCCCCCCCCTTTTTGTCATTAATTAATCTTGTAGTTGTTTACCAAGCAAAACAAGAAAACTTAGTTATATTAATAAAAACAAAAATACACCAAACCATAATTTAAAATAACTAATCATACAAATTAAAGACAAATGAAGAACCCAATGACCAACATTGTCCATCATTATTTTGATTCCTTTTTTTTCTTCTATAAATACCATAAAACCCTTCAATTCCAATTCAACAATCCATAGCCAAAAAAAGTCAAAAACTTTTTTTAAAAAAAAATCAATTTACAAAAAGAAAAAAAAATGGAATACACTTGTAAGGATTTCAAAGTGGGAAAATGTGAAGGAGAAAAAATTGTTGATGGTGAAACTATGCCATTAGTTCTAAATCCAATTGAACCAAATAATAAGAATGACATAAATTCATTACTTGAATATTTGGAAAATAATAAGGATTGGTTTGATGATATGATTACAAAAAATAGTGCTGTTCTTTTAAGAGGATTTGATGTAAAAAATGCACAAAATTTTAATGATATTGTTGAAGTATTTGGTTGGGAAGATATTAGATATGTTGGACCAGCACCAAGAACACATATTTACAAGAGAGTTTGGACTGCTAATGAAGGACCTCTTTCTGAATTTATATATTATCATCATGAAATGGTCCTTGTAAGTGTTTTAATTTTTCTTCGCAATTATTATCCGTCTTTTAAGATTTCTGTATATTCATTATTGAAAAAATCACAATTTAAAATTTTTCAATAAAAAATGTTCCTTAACTATTTTCACAAATATTTTGATTTAGTTAGCGAGGCAATATAATCAACAGTATTTTCATATAAAAAGTTTTTCAATATTGTCACTTAGTTATGGCATGGTATTCAATTTTATTTTAATTTTATATGAAGACAGCCTAAAAGGGAATTATATTATATTAAACTTGATTAATGATTGGAGGAGTACGAAATGAATAATACTCAGGGGTCGTTTGGTAGGGAGTATTAGAAAAATAGTTCAAATATTAAGTGTGGTATTATTTAATTCTATGTTTCGTAGGAATTTTGGATCAATCAATGGATTAGTTATATAATACCTTACATGGTATTAGAGGGTGTATAACTAATACCTTTCATTTGGTGGTATTAATTTAATACCATGGGACTAATCTAGATAAAGACAAAAATACCCCCTCAAATTCTTTTAATCATTTTGTTTATTTTCTTGATTTTATATTTTATATTTATACTAATAAATTTGTTTAAATAAATTAATTTGCAAATTTTATTATTTAGATATAACTTTTTGTTTCTAAAACATGAGTTATTTAATCTACTTATTATTAATACAAAATATGATAATCCGACTAATATGCTAATGTTGATGTATGAATTTAAGAACAATTCATAAGTCAAATATTATCTCTTAACGGAAGTTCCTTGAACATTACACAAGTAGTCTAAAACAAGAGCATATACATATAAATAAAACATCTCGATTATAAAAATAGTTTAATTAATTTTGCTATATCTATTGTTTATTTTTATTTTATTATATGATAAAGAGTTTTTTAAAAGATTTATTGATACAAAACAAAGTTCAATAAATTTTTCTTATATATTATTATAGTTGTGTGACATTTTGAGATATTACCTCCAATTTATAGATTACAATTATTTACTCTCAAGTAATTTAAGTGAGAACGTAGTGAATATGATAATAAAGTTTTATTCTCCTATCTAGTTAAAAATGTTATGAAAAAATAATATTATCCGTCAATTATCTACCTTGACCCAATTACCTGAAATACAAAAATCCCATAACAACTCAAGGGTATAATGGGAAAGAATTTTTTTGTAGAGCTTTAAACCACACACAAAACTAGTTAAAAAACAATGAACCGAACACTTGATAATAATAATCCCTACATTACCAATCCCTGCATTACTAATTCCTGCATTATCAATCTTTGCATTACTAATCCATGCATTATTGATCTTTGTACCAAACGACCCCTTAGCGTTGTCAGCTTTCATATGACACTTAATTATTTTGGTCGACCAAACAGGACCAGATCATAAAATTTGACAAAATTTTTCGCAAATAAACACTTCTAACCCGTTCTCACTATGTATCGTGGTCATTTGATGTTGTTGTGACACATGAATTCTGAAAGTATTTAAATGATCATTTTGTAATCAGTTGAAGTGTTCAACTGACAAAATAAGTACGAATTGATATGTCTAGATGATCATTTTGTGTTCAACTGACACAGTAAAAAGAAGTTGATGTGTCTGAATGATTATATTTTTTCTATGACATACTTATTTGTTATATATGTAGATAAAGGAATTTCCAAAGAAAGTGATATTGTATTGTGAGATACCACCCCCAGAAGGAGGGGAAACACCATTTGTTCCAAGTTTTAGAGTAACAGAAAGAATGATAGAGGAATTCCCAGAAGCTGTTGAAGAAATAGAGAAAAAAGGACTTAAATACACATTTAGTGCTCCAAGTAAGAATGACCAAGGTTCAATGAGAGGTAGAGGATGGGAGGATGCTTTTGGTACTTCTGATCCTATTGAAGCTGAAAAAAGGTAATTTAATCATTTATACAACTTTTTGGAGTTTTATATCTGCGTTGACGTTCGATAGTTTGAATTTGTGTTTAGAAATTACACTTTTAAAGGATAAAGGGGTACTAAAACACTAGTTCCTTATCAAAAGAGTCTTCGTGTAACTAAAAGCTCAAACTTGAAATTATTGCTTATGACAAGTTATTCTACCCAATATTAGTAAACTTGTTATATTGAATATATACAATCATTAAGTTTGTGGAATTGCTTAGGGTTTGGAGGAAAGAGTTGCTCGATATTTGTGTTAGTGGAACGCAATGTATATCTAATAGAATGATTGACATGATTGGGATAGAAATACACACTACTATTATCCAAGAAAAAAGAAGACTAAATTATTATGTATTTTCTGACCGATTCACGTATAAGTTAGTTGGTCTATAATGTTACAACAAGTAGTTCTATGGTTTTACTTTATAACTACGTGAGTAAAACGCAGTAATCATACGTGGAATTAATTATCCTTCGGAATAACTACCCAATTCAAAAAAAAAATCTTGATTATTATAGGGCAAAAGCACTTGGAATGGAAATGGAATGGCTACCAAATGGTGGTGTAAAGACAATCTTAGGACCAAGATGTTTAACAAAAGTGTTTGATGGAAGAAAAGGAAGAAGAATGTGGTTCAACACATTGGTAGGAATGTATGGGAAAGACATAAGCTCAGCCATGATGTTTGATGGAACAGAAATACCACAAAACATAGTAAAAAGATGTGAAGAAATAATTGAAGAAGAAAGCATACAATTCAAATGGCAAAAGGGTGATGTTCTTTTCCTTGATAATTGGGCTACACTTCATGGTAGAAGGCCTTCTCTTCCACCTAGGAAGGTCCTTGTTGCTACTTGCAAGTAAATTGAATTTTTCGAGCTGAGAATTTTCACGTGTTCAATTCATGAAAAATAATAAGATCGTTTCAGAAGGTGTGACGGAAAATGAATTGATCATTTTAAGTTGATAAGGGAAGTAAAGACTTTAGAGATGTATCATTTTTTTCAAAGAGTTTATGCATTACAAAGCTTTTATTTGTGAGTTTGAAATAAAATGTACAACTAAAATTTTATAATAAATGAAATATACTTTGAAGATGTATCATTTTGTTATCTCAACCAATATGCACACCTACTTTTAAGTGTAAAATCCATTTAAATTTAAAGACTTGTACTAGGATTTTTGGCAATCTATTATCAAAGTAAGTAGTCAACTGATTAATTTGTATAAGTGATAAAGGCGATAAAAAAATTTGAATTTAAATTTTGAAAAGAAAAAATCTTATAAAAAGGATTTACCATTTATTGTTTTCTAAATATCAAGTCATTACCGTTCAAACGCTATATTATATAGCAATAATACAGAAAGTGAAATATAATCACAACTCAAATAAAGATTTAGAGATAAACAAAATAAATAAACAAACAAACAAAAAGAATAAATAACAAAGAGATGTATTTTATAAATATCTAAATTTGAATTAATCAAACAAGTGAATTTGAATACGAGATGATTAAAACAAAAAGTGTATATAAGAAATTAACATATGAACAATTAACTTGAAGATTTAGAGATTACCTAAAACAAAAGAAAGAAAAACATTTATTTAATTTAAAAAAAAAATTGTACTCTATAAATATCCAAACGCAGCCTTATTATTTTGGCGCTTTAAATCTTTCAATTCAGTTAACACAGTTTTTTTCAACAGCGAAATGCGAAACGAACTTTCAATTTCTGTTGATTCTCACTTAGCCATGCTCCGCCTCAGCTCCGCCGCTGACGCCACCACCGGAAAATTCTCCGGCGACCAATCTCCTCATCAGCAATGCCATTCTTGTCGTTCCGTCAAGAAAATCCCACAATTCTCACCTGAAATTTCCACCACCACCATCGCCGCCGCCGGAGCTGCCGTCATTACAGCAGAAACACTTGCCACGTCATGTAAGAAAACTACCCTTTACGGCGGCGCCACCACCACTACCAAGGGAAAGAGACACTCAAACTGTCGTTTTTCTTCTTCTCTGGAAGAGCCATTTCCAAAAAGAACTGCCACTGTTCTACCACCCATTTCCACCACCGCAGATGGCGGCGCCGGTGGTTCCAGCGACACCTACAACATCAATAACAGTAACCATTTCCAAGGTTTCATCAAAATCCCACTCCAAAATGACCAAGAATCTCCGGTGACTCCATCGCCTTCACCATCTCCGGCGAAACCACCATTAGCGCCGCCATTTCCTCGACCCCTTTATCGGACTACTTCAGATCCCACTGGCAAATCCCCTAAACCCCCTTCTCACCGTACCCTCACAAGAACCTCTAGCTGGTCACCAAATGAGCTCGATTTCAACAATGGAGAATCTTCTACCACAATGGTTTGTTTTGAATTTGTTTCTAAATCTTGATTTTTTTTTTCGATTTCGTTAAGTTTTCTTTAATAATTTCTGTATCTTCATTTTGATTTTCCAGAAATCCCCAACTCACTCTGTTGTTGCAAGAACAGCTAGCTGGTCACCAAATGTTCAAGAATTAGGTGGTTCAGTTAACAATGGAGAAACTCCTTCTGCAATGGTTTTTCTCCTAAATCTTGGCTTTTCACTTTTTTCCATTTTTATTTTTTGCTTTGGGGTATTTCGGAAACAGTCTTTAGTGGTAAGGTATGTGTACATTGTACCCTCCCTCCCGAGACCGAGTTTGTTGCTTTTCATGGAGATTTTACTTTTTGTGTGTTGTAATATGCAGAGGTTAAAGAGAATGAAAGATGGAATGAGAGAAATGAGACAATGGTGTGACCTTATGATTCAAGAAGAAGAAGTAACTCTCCATGAAGAAAATAAGATTGTAAAGGTATATTGAAATTTTCATTTTCTATGTTTACTGTTGTTCTTGATCATTCATTCACCTTTTAATCACTTAGAATTAGTTGTGTTTTGGTTAATGTTCAATATAGAGTAGAAAAGATTTACCTTTTAAGTATTTAGAACTAGTTTTATTTATTATGATGGGATTCTGCACCAGAATCGAGGGTCTTTCGGAAACATGTTGAGGTAGTGATGGGGTTCTTGCTTTTGTTGTTTACTGATGGAATTCGGTTTCTTGGTTTCGAGTAGGATGATGAGACGGATAGTGGTGGAGGAGAAGCATTGTGTGAGGAGGCTGTATGGGTGGAAAGAATGGGGAACTGTCTCATTCTTCATTTCAAGTGTCCTTGTGGTAAAGGATATCAGATTCTGCTATTTGGAAATAACTGCTACTATAAACTCACCAATTTCTGAATTTGATCATACAACTCTACTTTTGTTTGTTTTTACTCAATGTGTAGTAAACTTTGTTTCATTCCTTGATTGCTCAAAGAATAAACGTACTTGCATGAAGCAATCATATGATAAAATCCTATTGCTTTGAAACCACCATAATAACAAAAAACTTTCTTCGAAGCTGGAGTTGTACAAGAAAATTACTGAAGGAAAACGGGGAAATGTCAAATTTTCACATAACAATCGACAAGCAAATTACATCCAATGACTACTACAGCCATTGTGATTGTGAAATTTGCAGCTAGAAAAATGAGCTCTATAGCTCAAGCAAAGAAAACTGAACATACGTTTACAGCCTGAATTTATTCTTCGAAAACGCAGACAAGATGCACAAAAGTTACAGGATTAGATGGGTACTAACAATATCCTTGCCTAAAAGAGGCAGATATTTGCTTCTAGCTCAACCTTAATAATACACCTATGCTTTTATAAAGTACGGGATGGCACACCACGGCCTCTGCCCCTACCACCACCATAGCCATAACCAGTTCCATTTCCATTTCCGTTTCCATATCCATATCCATATCCACCTCCTCTTCCATAATATGAACCTCGAGAACGTCCACCACGTCCAGGACCACGACCACCACGACCGCCCCTGTATCTTGAGAAATCTCCGAATGTCTGCACCCATCAAACAGATTAATTAGTTCATTGAAGAAGAACCATCAGATTAATTAGTTCATTGAAGAAGAACATACTCTGGAAAGTAGAGCATAAGAATCAGATATACCTCAACATCTATCTTCCTTTGCTCGGAGAACCTGGTCCTTCCATGATTTGAGTCATGGTCAAGTGCATTACTAGACAAAGAGTCAAAAAAGTCTTCCTTGTTGTAAACAGGCTGCAGGAAAGAAAAGGTAGATTAAACATAACACACAAAACTAGTACCAAAATTCATGGTCAAGGGTATGCATTGGAATTGAGGTCCAAGAGAATTTAAGTAAACACCTGGATATCAATCTTAGGAAGGTCATCCTCATATTCGTTGTAAGAGATATCCTCATCACTGCCATTTCCATCTCCTTCTCTGTTACTTTTGCCAAGATGACCCCATACTTCATCTTTCTTGAACTTCTCATTCATGGCCATAAAATCAAAATCCTCATCGAACTTTGTTATTGGTCTAGAAACCTGGTAAGGAAGATAATCAACCTATCTCATTAACTACACCAAGCAAAGGCCAAATCCACTACAAATCACAAGCCCGAACAGAGCAATTCAAAAGTCAATTAACTAAAGCACTGCTCTAATACATTAAGATTAACCTTAGTAAATCCATTAAAGCAATGAGTCAAATGACGGAATGTATAAATTATGGACTAAAGATTCATTCTTCAATGTAAGAGTACATGAAAAATATTGCACCGGCAGAGTCAAAATACTGATCACAAATTCTAGAAAAAAGAGAACATATAAATATATATATCGCTAGATGTCATGTCCATATAGCAGAAACCCTTTCAAACATATACTAGTTTAGCCAGATAGCAAATTCTAGAAAAACGAGAATATATAAATACATATCGCTAGATGTCATGCCCATATAGCAGAAACCCTTTCAAACATATACTAGTTTAGCCAGTATAACAGCTATCACAACTGCAAAATAGGGTAAACAACAATGGAACTCGAGCAATCAGACAAAAGCGGGGATCACATACCAGTCTTCTACTTGTAATCAAACCTACCCACATAATTTGTATACGCATGCACACTCAAATGCTTGGTGATGCCACCAGATCTAACAACAAATACTAGCAAAATCAGTGTTCTAAGAAATACTCCACCTACAGAGTTCCCTACAATGCGTGCAACTATTGAATATTTGTATTAGTGTTTGAATTGACTCAGCTAGTTTAAATTGAATGCAAGAATCTTGGACTAATCCCCCTTTGGGCATTCATGAAAGAAAATGTTTTCTCATTGGAAGGGGCAGATTTGGAATTTGTGACCTCCATTAAAAGACTTGTAACTCCAGACTGAAACTATTTACACATAACAACATAGATTAAAATACAAGACATCAGATGCAGATATGAATACAATGTTATAAAAATGTATGGGCTGATAATAGCTTAAATATTGCACATAATCCATTACCCCCATTCCTCTTCCACCACGCCCTCTGAAGTTGACGTAACGAGGCTGATATGGAGCTCCATTTGTCTAGAAGGAAGAAAATGAAAGAAGATTATTAGCTTCCCAAACAATATCATATAATTTTGCCACCACATCATTGTGAAGAACATCACCAGTCTTTCCCTTTTTATCCTGGAGTCATAGGTCTAATTTTCTTGCAATGATCCATGATGAAGAAATGGAAGCAATACAGGGGAAGGAATGGAGGCTTTCAGAGCAGTGCAATGTTAAGAATGATAAGAAAACTGGTCACTAAAAGTATTTTCATAGCCAAGTAGCTCCTAAATATTCAACACTCCTGCATAAGTGTGAGCATTAAATACAGTCAAGGTAGACAAGAATTATTACTATGTCAGTCAAGTAAATCCTCACCAGAATTCTTTCTCCTAATGAACTTCCTTCATTAGTCTAATTTTATTCTTTAAAATAGACTCTTGATAACAGATAGCAGCAATAAAACAGAAGTAGAAGTAGATGTACCAAGAGGACTACAAGTAAAGATTGACAGGAAACTAGACACCTTAAAGTATTTTCATAACCAAGAAGGCTTGGAATATTATCAAGTCATAACATAAGCATCAAATAAACATAAAGGTAGTAGATAGTGTGACTTAATTAAATTGACACCAAACATCCTTTTCACAAAAACTTTTCATCATCCCTTTCACTGTTAATAGCCATCAGTATCAAAGTATGGAACACAGGACACCATATTAAATAAATAACCATGGTAAACATCTAGAGCAGACTGCTAACAACCCTATAGAGGCATCTAGCCTAACTCACCCGATGTTTGATAGAATTATCTCCTTCTCTCACTAGGATAAACAAACAAACTACCAAATCAAAAGACTTCATTAATAATTGCCAGAAAAGACAGTTAAAAACTATGCTAACCAAGTACTAAATCAAGTATTCCAGCTTAATAACAAATAGCCCCCTTAAGTCGCAAGCATCCGTTATTAATTTTTTTCAAACTGTAAGTTCAAAAAAGATAGCAATACCTTGGGAAATGGGAATTGATTAGTCCAATATTGTTCACACAGGGAGATCAATAATGTATTAACATAAATGAATTAAGTAGATAAAATTTTCAAACACTCAGTAATCGAATGAATAATCAAAAACTGCACCTTCTGCACACGTGTCTGGGATGGTAACGGTAATATTGGTGGCTGAGCTTCTGTTTTAGCAGGGGCTGGAGGTTCTGAAGGTGGTGCAGGCACTACTTGATCCACCTCTACATCTCTTTGAGATGTCTGCATAGATTGAGTTGATGGAACATCAATTGGTCCAGATTGCAGCAGCTGCCCTGGAGTTATCAGCGACGGTGTGGGTGTCTCCACAATGGTAGATACCGATTGAGACAAAGCTGGGCTAGGTACTGGATTAGGTTTATTAGATACAGGCAGAACAACGGGATTTACATCAGGACTTGTTGACAAAGGAGGCAAAGTTGGTAAACTAGCACTTAATGTCGAATTGGGTATAGCAGAAACAGAAGCTTTCTTTGAAATTGCGCTGGATATTGTTTCAGTCACAGGTGCCACAGGTTGCAGCGATGGCACAGTTGAAGGCAAAGTAGCAGCAGGTAAAGAACTAGAGGTTAAACTAGTAGTTGTTGGCATCAAAGAAGAAGGGTATTCTGGGAAGTTTGGCGCCTGTAGGCTTGATCCTCCAGTTGGCAAAGACGAATTGAAACCAGAAAACTGCATCTGCGGCATGGAAGGAGGCATGGAAGGAGGCATGGCAAGTCCAGGAGGAGGACGAAGCAAAGATTGTTGCTGCATTTGTGGTAATCCATTGGGTGCACCATAAAAACCTTGCCAATACATTGGCATAGCAAGTCCACCAGCTCCGGCATTTGGAGGAGGAGGAGATGGACCCCAAGATCCCATATTACCTCCAGGTTGATACAAAGGCGGGCCACTTTGGAATGTTGAGCCAGGATGTCCCGGCTGTGCAGAATGGGAACCTAGATCAGTCAAAGATCCACCAACAGCAGCAGGTAAACTTGCCGATGTAGTAGGTGGTCGAGGATAGTGAGACTGAAAGGTTGGTTAAGAGGAATTAGAAGTCAACCAAAACATAAATAATAAGCATTAGGGAAATTTCTTTTACTTACCTGTATAATAGCTGGGTCGTTGTTTATAGGTTGTGTAGGTTGAAGAGGTGGCGAAGACTTAACTTGCAAATCCTGCAACAAGCAAATCATTTTATTGAAAAGCCGGGCCAATGCAACTCATCTATGAAATACTAATTGTGCAAATATAACGGCCTGACATATGTCAAGTTTAGGAAAATATAAAGTCTGCATTTAAGGATACTGACCCGACATGCAAATATATCCAATACGATGCACAGTATGATTAATAATTTTCCTCTTAGCCTCTCACTCTTTTTGATAAAACTAAAACTTTTTCTCACCCTTTCCTCGAGTATTCTTACATCATCCACGAAAATCCTCCTCCTAGCTCACATATTTCTCAATTATTAGATACTACCTTAAGTAGGGAGACTGAGTTTATACTTTAAATTCTTAGGATACTGAACAAGTATATCTAGCTCTACATTTCGACCAACAAGATTCCTCAACTAATGCCAACTCAAATGCTACAGAGGAAATGACTTATAATGAATATCAGTGCACATGGCCTCTTCTTCACCTTCTCCTCAGAATTGCTAATCCGATGATCACATAACAAGGATATTGGAACTATCATTTTACCTAAGGACCATGCTTAAAAACAAAGACTCAGACTTACAGGTCATTTAACCAAATGTAGCGGCTACATAATGTTATGAACTTCTGTCTTGACCACTAAGATCAAAAGAAAGGTAAGAGCTAAGTATAAAAACAAGTCCAGGCTCCTATTTAATGCCTTTTGTCTTTCCAAAATCAGCCCCGAAGTTAACAAAGACGCAGACTTAAGGGTCATTTAACCAAATGTAGCAGCAACATAGGTTAATGAACTTGTGACTTGAACACAAAGATCAAAAGAAAGGTAAGAGCTAAGCAGAAAAACAAGTCCAGGCTTTTATCTAATGCTTTT